CGTTGGAGCAGCATCCAGTTCTCAGCCGTCGAGGCCAGTTCCTTCTGGAGCCCAGCTTCCTAGTCCAGATCTAGGTGATAATGTAGTCCCGGAGGAGACTAGTGCAGATCCGACAGATTCATCCTCGCCACAGTCGTCTGAAGAATATAGATGTATGGTAGTCCGTCCTTGTCTTTCCCCTAGCGAAGCTCGTAGCGGTCCTGAGTCGCCAAGTGAGAGTTTGAAGGCGAGACACCAGGGAGCCCAGGGCACTAGGTCAGTGATCGGTGTTCCGACTGAGGACCCGTTGGGGAATATAGGTGCAGGTCATCCCGCAGCACTGCCGGATCCAATGATCAATCGGGTCGATGAGAGTGGATTCACTCCAAATGTGGAAGACCTGTTGTCCAAGTTGCAAGGTCCATTGGAGGTGACGCACAACGTGGCACCCGCTGAAGTCCGGCAGAACTTGGCAGCTTGGCGCCCGGCAGCACAGGCAGAGTTGAGCACGTTTGAGACCATGGGAGTCATACGCAAGTTTTACGGAAGCGAAGCCCGTGCTATCCTCAGAAGTTCGGACTACGAGGTCATACCGGGGAAACCGGTATGTACGGTGAAACCTGGTGCCCCTTACAAGAGAAAATTTAGGATTGTGTCATGTGGGAACTATGCGAAGACAACTGCCGAGTCCCAGCTTTACGCTGGTGGTGCCGGCGCAGAGTCCCTGAGGGCCCTACTCGCCCATTCGGCCCGACGTGGTCGTAGGGCATACGGGCTGGATGTGAAGTCTGCTTTCCTTCTCGCATCGATTCCGGAAGGAGTGACGAAGCGCTATGCAATGCGGGCACCACGTCTGTTAGTCGAGCTTGAGCTGGCACGGGAGGACGAGGTGTGGATTATAGACAGGGCGTTGTATGGATTTAGAGAAAGTCCGCGCTGGTGGTCGTTGTTCAGAGACAGTTTTCTTGCAAAGGCAGAGTGGAATACCCCATTGGGGAAGGTCACTTTGGAGCAGTTTTCCTCTGAAAGCAACGTCTGGCGAATGAGGCACGAGAGCGGCTTATGCATTGGACACCTGTTGGTCTATGTGGACGACATGTTGCTTCTGACAGAGCCAGAAGTGGCGCAGTCGTTCATTGACTGGATTAGGGAGTCTTGGGAATGCACGGGATTGAAGGAGGCGACAGCCACGGACCCGTTGCGCTTCCTGGGAGTGGACATTTATGCTGAGCTGAATGATACTGGTGACCTGATAGGGTACAGCCTGGCTCAGGAGTCCCACATTGCAGAGTTGTTGCGGAGCCATGATGTAAGGTCAAATTCCCGTGCTACAGCGCCAGTACCCAAGGAATGGGTGCGTGAACTTCCCCAGGAGGAGGAATTCTCAGAGAAGGAGCTACGAGCAGCTCAGCGCATTACAGGAGAGCTTCTCTGGGTGGCTCAGAGGTCCAGGGTGGACATCAGCTACTGCGTGGGAATGATGGCAAGCTGGGTAGCTCGCTTCCCGAAGCAGGTTCTGAAGATAGGACTTAGAACCTTAGAGTATTTGGCAACCACGAAGTCTCATAGACTTATGTTGATTCCAGGGAAGGCCGATGGGCTTAGGATCTACACGGACGCGTCATTCGCGCCCCACGGAAGCCACTCCATCAGCGGCATAGCCCTTCTTTATGATGAGTGTTGTATTGTTTGGAAGTCGAAGCGCCAAAGCATCGTTACACTAAGCACAGCGGAATCGGAGCTTGTGTCAGGTTGCGAAGGGGTTGTGCTAGCACAGTCTTTGGAAGCTTTAATTTCTGAGCTTGAGGAGGGGCCTTGTGGCAAACATCTGATGATTGATAACACCGCAGCAGTAACGCTAGCAGGCGGTGAAGGGAGCCAGCGCACGCGACATTTGCGAGTCCGATCGTCCTTCATTCGAGACATGATCGAACGAAGGGAAATCGAGGTGTCGCACTGCCCCGGTGATGTGCAGTTGGCTGACTGCTTAACTAAGGCCCTAATGAAAACCCGCCTCGACGACCTGTGTAAGCTCTTGGGTTTAGGACCTCCTAACCCCAATTCCACGCCATCACAGGTGTCCCGAGTTGAGACGGACGCATTACCTTCACAAGGACCCTTCGAGCCCTTCAGCGAGGCCTCGGGGCAATCCTCCTCCAGGAGTGCCGTGCAAAGGAGTTTCGTGGGTAATCATAGAATGGGGTTATGGTTGTTAGGTATGCTACTGTTGGTCCAGGCGGACGTCAATGAGGCTGCACCAAGCGATGAACTTGAAGCAGAACCATTGGGTCTAGAGCTCTCGCTTTTGGTGGTGTTGTTGGTTATGTCGATACTCTTTCTTTGGGAGTCAGGTAGGTACTGTGTACGATCCTGCTGCAGGCAACGTGAGCCAGTAGCGGTGAGAATGGTTCATGCAGACCCTGACGTAGGAGAACAAGAACCCTCCACCCGAAGGGAACGTAGACAGGAGCAGGTTCGTAGAGTCATTGCCCGTGAGTTGGAAGAGGAAGGTTTGAGGCAAAGGGGTATAGGCAGTCGAGAGGTTGAAAGTCGTCAGCCCCCCCATGCGGAAGCTTCCTATGTTAGAGTGGAAGTGGAAACACGGCCTCAACTCCCTGCTTTGGATTTGCCGCCACCGCCACCACCACTGCCTTCCAGCAGTTCGGTATCCATCCCGACCGATACCACCTATGGATTTCATGGACTTTCTGGATTTCCGGCGGTTGAACCGCCACCGGCACCTTTTCCGGCCTTCTTAGAGACTCGATCCTCTGTCCCGAATAGTGGTTTAGAGAAAGAAGTCAAGACGGCTAAGGATGCATCTACGCAAACTACCTTTGATCAAGGTTTCACATTTAGTGAGTTGTGTGAGCTCCACGTGATGACCACAGCAAGTAGATCCCCAGGAGCACTACATCTCTTCCGATCCTGTCAAGTGCTTAGGAACACGACTTCAGTACAGGACAGGATGATATGTCGCTATTGCCTCCAGGCTTTGCGGGACGGAAGGGATTGACAGCTTTCCATCCAAAACTGGATGATGCAGCTGAGGAGGAGTGTTGAAGCCACTGCAGGCCAGCACGTCCGCACAGCCTTGACGGCCCAGGCAGAGCTGAGCTAAGCCATGATCGGCAGAAGCCAGCAGACACGAGTCAAGCTAGCCTAGTGAACAGGCATAAGCTCTAGTCCTGAGGACAGACAGCTTCGACATGTGTTGTTGCGCGTAAAAGTGAATCAGTCGTGAGCCCATGGTCGGTTGCGCCAGTTCTCTGAACTAGTTTTCTGGAACGCCTTGAGAAGATCCTCGACTATGGCAGCTGATAGTGCGAACAACCCCAACCTTCATGATGAACCAGTACGTCAACAGGGATCTATAAAGGCACCATAATACAGGGCCTAAAGAATTGCCAATACTATGTTGGGGGGGCCCCTTATTAGAATTGTAGTATAATGGGCCCCCAAGCCTTATTCTAGTTATTACGGCCCCGTACTAGGGCTCCAAGATTCTCGCTCGTTGCTCTCCGCAGCCGTAGGCTCCGCATGCACTTAATTAGAAAAACCCCGGATGGACGCCATCCGGCGGGTGCCCTGTTCCTTTGGAAACAGGTGTCAGCTGTACCCTCCGTGGCTGGACACCAGCCAGCAGGCTTTTGGAGTCGCGTTGGCTTCTGGAGAGGCCCGCTCAGGTAGACAGGTCCCCCTTTTCGTCTCGAGTCAGCCTCCGCGAGGGAGCCATTCTACGATGCTCCCCTAACTGCGCCACGCCTTGCTGGCTGAGGAACCCAGCAAACCGCCCCGCTTGGGAGGCAAAGTGCTCAAAGAGAGCCTGTAGCCTTTCTGTGGTGCGCGCCTTTAACTGTCGTAGCAGCTCCGGCTCACGTTGGGCCAGAAGCCGTTCAAGGCCGCTGCCGCCACCCCATTGGGGGTATGGCAAGCTTGACCAGCTCCCCAAGTCGTAGAAACGGACACTGTTATCCTCATTCAAGCCCAAGTTGGAGATCGTGATGTCTGCCACCCTGACCCTGCAGGCTCCCAGCCAGGTAACCACGGCCAGCAGGTAGCTGAACCATTCCCTGACTATCGCCGGCGTTTCGGCATTTAGCCAAGGCTCGGCTTTTCTGTTCACTTTCTCCTGAACCAGACAGTGGAGCACAGCATACTCTGCATGGGCGCCCTGCCCAATACGAACATTCAGAGGCCCCACGTGCACCACAATAGCACACAGTTTGGTGAACCGGGTACTGTAGTTCTCCTCAGACCCATGGTCGTAGGCAAAAGTTGTGACTTTGAGCACATAGGAGCCAAAGGAATACGCAATCCTCTGGTTGCCCTTGCCTTCCATTCGCATGTGTGCCGGTCGTGGTAGGAGCGCCCCCGAAAGTGGGCTTCTGTAGAGGACCGGGCTCCAAGATTCGGTGCTCACACTCGGACAGACGGGACTCCAAGTTTGGGGGTTTAGGGTTTGGGTTTTGGGTTGGTTCAGAGGGTATTTAGGGTTGAGGGTTTAGGGTTTTGGGGTCTTAGGTTGGTTCAGAGGGTTTCCTTGAAGATTTGGCTTTGTTTCAAAGGGCTTTATGGGAGTGTATTGGCTGCTGTTTTAGGTTTGGGGTGCTATGCAGTTCCCAAGGACCTGGATACCTTTTCAAGGCAAGGTAAAGGGATCCATCCTGCAGGACTCTAGGTTTGTTGCTTTAGTAAGGGTGCTCAAGACGCCTTACTAAAAGCAACAAATCTAAGGCCCTGCATTCTGGATCCCTTTATCCGACCCTCAAGGGCTCTGGGTAGCTGAACAAGTACTTACCCGTCAGGGCTCTGGGCTGTGACGCGAATTCGACCAATGGGTAAGTTCCATCATCTTCGAAACAAGAGCCCTAAACCCAAAAGCCCCACACCCCTAGAGGCCCCTGTTAGATATGCCTGCTAAAACCCTGCAAAACCGCAAAAGCCCTTAAGCCAACCCCGACACTCGAGCCCTAAACCGTAGGTCGTAGGCCTCAACTATAGCTTCAAACCGAAACGGCCTCGATGTATTTGGCAAACTCCTCCTGGCTCAAACCGACCTCGCACATTTCGGTTGTGTGAGGGTTCTCGTAGGTCACCCGGAAAACCACCAAGCTGTTAGTTCAGCAATATACCCTTGCAGTGCAAGCTTATATAGGCTATGATTCGGGCTTGAAATAGTTGGGCGTACGAAGGGGCCTGAAGCCCTTTGGCAGATCCGTTTCCTGGACCCGTAGAGTAATGGCCTTTTGTAGGTGTTGGGCCATTATTTTACCTACTTCTGGGGGTTTAGTATAGGTTTAGTCTGTTATAAGGTATAGCCCTTACAAAAGCAGTCTGGGGGGCCTCTCGAGGAGCGCGAGCTGCGCTGTAAGGTTCGGGTTTTCTAGGGGCTTCTTCATGTAGGAATCCATGTTCAGGTTCGGGGTTCCGGACTGACAGGCCTATGGGGGCCTTACCAGTAAGATTCGGGTTTGCGAGGTTTTCAGCTATAGGTATACATTTGGGAACCCTAGATATCGGTTACCATGTTCAAGGAGCAATCGAGTGGAACAGCCACAAACCCATGTTACACCCCGTAAGACACCCCCCAATGAAAGCCTGAGGTGGGCAGATAGGACACCCCAGACAATTCACGGATCCCTTAGAGGAACCCTTAAAGGATCCCTTACATCCTGCATCCCCGAACCAGAAGCCTTCGCCGAGGTGCATGCACATGGTGCTTTGCCACGTGCTGGCAGTCCATGGAACCGAGTTGAAAGCCTTGGTTTGCTTGACCTAGACCCCGGTATGCTACACTTGCATTATAGGGGCCAAAATAATTGGATGAGGTTTCGGGGCCCATTATACTATACTTATTATAAGGACCCACTAAAATAGTATCGGCAATGATTTAGGCCCCTGCATTTACAGCCCTTGAGTCCTATACTTGCGATAAGTAGCAAAATCCCAGGCCCTGACAATGATATCCAAACCCTGCACCCCATGTTGCATCCCCGCTGAGATCTCCCAAACCCCAAGCCCCGACACGCAAACCCTGCCCACGAACTCGAATCTCTCCGCATGCAAAGCCTTTTCGAGCACGGTTAGGCTTCAGGGCTTAGGGACCCTCGTATATCATGTAGACATGCACCATGTAACAGGTGTGAATATACAACTTTTACATAACCTCGCCTGCTTATGAGGAAAATATCAAATATGGGAAGACGCAAAAATGGTATAGCATGGTATAGCTCCGCGGCAGCGCCAACTGTCCCAAAGGAAAACCTGAAGCTTCCTTGCAGGCTACAAAGGCTTCGGTAAGAAAGCCCCCGCTTCTAGACCGTACAAAACCGGAATCTTGAACCAAACTGCCGAGATTAACCGGACAAGCTTCTGCTTGGAACTTGTGGGGGTGCTGTTCGAAATACCCATCCCTAAAACAGCCCTAAGCTAAGTTACAGTTTGGTCAGGATTCTGGTATCCGGGAACCCCTTCCCATGGGTCCCTTTAGGACTCACCTCTTTAGGACTCACCTGGCAGGCCAAACAGCAAGCCCAATGGAAGGCTTTCCTCGGATAGTCCTTCCGAGATAGACGGATTGTGGATAAATTTTACTTGAGGACTTTGGGTTCTGTGGTTTAGGTACTTGATTGTTGTGTGGGGTTATGTGCAAGGCCTTCTGCAAGAACGGCCCAAAACCCGAGTGGTAAATCCAAAGCCTTAAGCCCCTTCAACCTGAACCCTACTCGCCCTACCTCTCGATACTAAGCTCTGAGCCCTAAGCCTAAACATGTATTTCCCAAATAGCCAATCGAAGATGGAGTCGTCATTCTGCCTCCTCTGAAGCTCAGAGAAGCATCTGACCCTCTTGGCTGCGGACCCTACCTTAACCCTGAATAACCTACATTTTAGGGTTCCTTATTATGATTTCCTTATATAAGTCCTCAAAAAGGTAGGTTATTCCGGGTTAAGGTAAACCCTAAACGAGACCAGGTAAACTGCTGTGGGTCTTCGGGTACAGGGACTGTTTGCCTTCCCGGTATCGGAGCGGTGCCCTGGATATGAGGCGGCTAAAGGCTTTTGTACTGCCTAGAAATTTGGGGGTTCGAGGTGTCAAAATGTATGGTTGTTGGGAAGCATAGAGCTTAAGGGTCTCGGATTTCCAAAACCTGTTCGCTTTTCGGATTGTCCGTGTTCGAGGACATCTCTGTGCGTCCTCTGCAAACTTTGGCGAGACGACGAAGAAGGACGCTGCGGTGCAAGTGCCGGCGGTCACGGCTACCTTGCTTCCACATCGGGGCATCGGTACAAGAGTGTATACTGACTGCCGGGTCAGGGGCTGGTTAAACAAAGGTCTCGTGTCCAATATATAGGGCTCTGTAGAATTTATTTACATAAGCAGAACCGCAATGAAAGCACGAACGACCCTATACATCAAACTTGCCATGGACCTTGGCCAACGCGCTAAAACCGTTAAAACCAACCTACTGAGTGGTGCCGATATTGGCTAGGCCACGATGTGCCATGCTCTTACAAGTGCTATGCATCCAAAGATGCCGTAAAATCCAACGGTCTGCAATGCGAACGGAGTTCTCAACCCAAAGACTCTGCTCCTTTGATGCAGCCAACACAAAGGTCTCGATTGAGAATTTTGGCCAGCACTGGCACTAGGATTCTGGCTCGCTGCTTCGCGATATCTTGTCAAAACCAAACTATCTGGTCCGAAAGACAAACCCACAAAAGCTGCACAGAGCACTGATTGACACTTTCAACCCTGCAGCTACAAACCTACCTAGCTTCAACGAACGGTGAAGTGAAGCTAAGCGACGTTCGCTGCGGTCACGCGACCACCAGTAAAGCGATTCTCCACCTGTTCAGGCACATCGAGTTCGAGGTCTTCCAGTATTGCGACCAGAGCGTATGCTCGCTCGCTGTCTCTGTCTCTGTCTCTCTCTCTGTCTCTGTCTCTGTCTCTGTCTCTGTCTCTCTCTCTGTCTCTCTGTGTTTCTCTCTGTGTCTATCTCAGTTGTTTTCTCTCTCTCTCTCTCTCTCTCTCTTTATCTCTCGCTCTCTCTCTCTCTCTCTCTCTCTCTCTCTCTCTCTCTCTCTCTCTATATATATATATATATACATATACACACACACACAAACATATATATATATATACATATTATATCAGTAAACAAGTACAATAAATATCACACATATACTTGTTTACATATACATAACATATTTACACATGTGTGTGGGAAAATATCTCTATCTACCTGTCTGTCCAACTGCTTGCCTATCTACTTGCCTATCCGTCTCTAAACCGACGAATGTTAAACCATGTTGTTGCGTTACACACATACATCAAATATGTCATGGTGTATTGTATATGCGTATATACACATAGACTTTCTATCTCTCTGTGTAATTGTATATCAACGCCAATATGTGTATTATCTTATGCTTATACATATAAGTGTATGCATGTGTATGAATAGGTATGTGCATATGATCTAGGTCGAGGGAGGGAGCAAATGTTCCAACATATATATATATATATATATATATATATATATATAAATATGTATATATATATATATTTATTTACATGTTTGGGTGTATGTGTGTGGGAAACCAGCATATAAATGTACATATTGAGTTTTGCAGTAACTCTGATGAACCCCGTGCTTCCAACATCCTGACTCTCCAAACTCTTATGTCCAAAAGCCTGGCTGGGTTAGGACTCTCACGCCCGTCTAGGCTTCACAACGACTAGCCCCAGTACAATGAAACATCGTGTACTCCAAGACCTATGCCAGACCCTGACAACCCACCAAGTGTAGGGCACAAGCACAGCCACGGCAAGCCGTCTACCCAATTCCAAAGCAAGAAACCGAAAACTAAACCCGCTCCAGGTCGGGATTCGGGTAAGAGGCCTAACACGGTCGCCAGGTCTTTGTGCTCCCTAGTTATAGCCTGCCTCTACGGCTACGAGAGGATGTGATGCAACCATCGGATTTGCTCCACCTTGCCGCGCAGCGTGTCGAACACCGCAGGATTTGCCTGTGAGGCAGTACCGTATCTTTTTTTTATGAACCTTCGCATTGTCCCGGCTAAACTATAATTGAATAATTATGCTCGGTGGTCACGACGCGAACGCGGATATGACAGCTCGAAGTCCAAACGGCATAAACACCTACTCTGCCACTACGACGATGACGACCTTCCTTCCGCTGAAGATGACACTGCGAATGTTTGTTCGCGTTACAGCTTTGCTGAGCCTATCATGGCTGCGTGTCTCCTTCGCCGAGGCTTCCAAATTTATCTTCTCAGGGTCGTTGCGGGCCTAGTCATTGTGTTGGGTCAAAGAATCAGAGACTCTGGGTCGATGCAAAGAATCAGAGACTCTGGGTCGATGGGGCACATGCAGAGCCCACAGCTGAAAATTGTCATTCGTAGCTTCCTGGGCCATCGAGTTCGCAAGCCTGTCACACTGCAACGTCCTCCACATTCTGCCCTGGAGGCTTTGCCAGTTCGCAAAAACAAGGGCAGCAACGCCACCACACCCGTACAAGACGACCACAGCTTGCCTCCACCAGCAAGGCCCGCATGGAAGGTTCCTGCAAAAGCCTCGGTACTCGTGCCCTGAAACACAGGCCAGGACGCTGTCACAACGAAGTCAGAAACCGCAACACCGACACCAACAAGAACAAGAACAAGCGAGGTTGATTGGACCTTCAGTGGGCAATAGTCGACGGGATTCAGCATTGATGCAAACAAAGGCGTACATACGGCACATGCCGACTGGTTGCAGACCAAATACCCCAAGACACACCCAAGACCCGGAACCCCAAACTCTCCTAATGTAGGGGCCTTAATAATTAGAATAGGGCTTCGGGGTATATTTATACTATAAATTATTACCATAAGGAACCCCCCAAAATAGTGCAGTGTATAGGTAGTTATTGAGGCCCCTATAATATAGGCCCCTCAAAACATGCCTAGCGCGACTCTAACGGTTTTCCTAGCGCCAGCATTGGTAATAAGTGGCTCTACTTGCGTGCCGCCTCATAGCGAAAAGCAAGAAGGATGCCCCCTCAACGCAGTAATGTCAATCTAAATACCTCCACCGACACGCGAATACAGAACGCAGCCCATATTAGTGCCGTCCAGAAGGCAGGCGTTGAACAGGATCGTTCGAGCTCGGCTCCTCCCCAAAGTCACCATCGCAGGCCCCCACCTCGCAAGAAACAGGGTTCCTCTAACTCGAGCGAGGTTCCTGCTTTAGGTTTTGGGGAGCATTCTAGTAAGGATGTGGGTAGCTGGGTTGTGCTATAAAGTATTGAAGATACCATATGTTCGGAAGCTCGCAGATCATGCGTTGGTGCGTTGCGCGACTGTGTCGGATATCTATTCGGGCGATCTCGAATTGTGGCTGCAGGAGGCTTTGTTTGTATGTTCTCATGTTCTGAGTAGTATGTCGGGCTTGATGCAACTTGCGGACTTAGGTTGCCGGTTTTTTTTTGACACTCACACTCGGACAAAGCCTGGCAAGGTCTATAGCGATCCTGGCCCTTCGTTAACTACACAGCTGGCACGTATCACCAGACATGTGGATCATGAGTTCCCTCATCCGCCGAGGTTGCCGGTTTAAGGTTGAGGATCCTTCTGACTTTCAAAACACCCGAAAACTAAGTGTCTCTTAGCCCAGGTTCCTGAACGATTAAAATGGAGCAACTGTTCAGACCTCTGTATTGCTTCTTGAGCCCTGAACCCCCTACCCTCGAAAGCCCCAAAGCATACAGGGCCTCTTTACACAGGATTGCGTCAGCTAAGCCCAAAACGCAACAAACCCTCAAAACTCAGATCTTCATCTGGGCTCCTATAACTTCCCCCCGTAACTAGGAAACACATCTAGAATCTTAGAGAGAGATCTTTAACATAATTCCAACTATACCTCAATCAGGGGGGTAAGGAGGGCAAATGACAAGGAAACATGTCCCCAACTAAACAGCATCATCTGAACCAGCGGATTACAGAAACAAGTAGCGTTGCAGCTCGAGGTTGTCTCAACCTTATGGAATTTACAATCCTTGATGCAGAGCTGTGGAGTTCATAAACCCAAACACCCTGATTCTGCTACTGGGCCTGCACAAGGGTGCCCTCCGGCCATGCTGCAGCGATCCTCCGCAGGAGAGCACCAGTTTCGCCGAAAACCCGGGTGTCTTCTTGTGTTGGTCTCTCTTTCTGACGGCCAAGTACATACAGACGCACAAGCAAACTGACAGACAAACAAAGAGCCCCGCTGTACTTACATGCTCATACATGCAGATGCATTTGCGCATGTCTGTTTGGTGTTCCTGTCCTATGGAAGATGGGAGCCACATCCACCACGTTCTCCGGCAATCCAGCAGACGAAGATGCCCTTGGCTCGACATCAGGGCTTCAGAGCTTCGAAGGTGGGGTCTAGGATTTAGGGTGTTAGGGTTTCAGGTTTTAGGGTTTGTATGGGGCTAAGGGGTTAGGAATTAGGGCTTTCAGGTTCTGTCGGGTTTGTACAGGGCTAAAGGGCTAGGAGTTAGGGCTCGAGGCTCAAATCTTTCGGGTATAGGCATAGGGTTGAGGGCGGCTCAGGGTTGGAGTGCAGCGCAGTGCGTTCTTTCGGATGTACACCCCGCACGTTTCATAACTCGAAGTTGCACGCTTGGGCATACTACATCGGATGCTTCAGGGTTTAGGGCTTAGGGCTTATAGGGTTTAGGGTTGAGGGTTTAGGGTTGAGGGTTTAGGGCTTAGGGTTGAGTGTTTAGGGTTTAGGGCTTAGGGTTGACTGTTTAGGGTTTAGGGCTTTAGGGTTTTTAGGGTTGAGGGTTTAGGGCTGAGGGTTTAGGATTTAGGGTTTCAGCACTCACACTCGGACATGCCTGGGTGAGGATCCTGGTACAGGGCGAACAGCACATTGGCTGAGGGAGAACCCCAGATTAAGAACTCCCAAACATTACTATACTGAACTTAGAACCCTAGCAAAAATCATCATTTTAGCTGTTTCTTAGGGATTATAATAACCAAAAATTCAATAATATTTCTAAGTACCCCACACGCATTGGGACTTCCGGCACTGGAGCAAGCAGTGTCGAGACATCCCATTCCCGTCACTGCACTAGCGAGCCATCGGGCATGCAATTGCAATCAAAGATGTGGGAGAGTCGTGCACAGATGAAGGTGCCTGACTGCAAATGCTTTCCACCAGTCAGTTTCGCCGATGTCAGACTGACGCTCACTGCAACATGGCCAACGCGTGCAGCGGGACATGCCACACTTGGACGGGTCTTGCATTTCCCTTATGCAGATTGTAAGTTCCGCCAGCTGTTCCTCGGCATCCTTCGTGGTTTTCTCACTTCGCTCTTGCTCTTCCTTGAGGATTTAGGGTTTAGGGTTTAGGGTTTGCGGGGACAACCCAACCTGCCAAGTACTCGGTGAGAAGTGCACGTACTCGTTGAAGTGTGCCTGTATATGGAAACAATTTATGCATTTGACACCTGGGGATGCGCAGTAGCTCAGTTTTGTGGATAGCATTCGGTATACAGGCACCTTGGCCGGACAGCGAATAGTTGCCCTACGGATAAAACTTGCTTTGAGAGTTTTGGGGCTGAGGGCCCGTCCTCTAAGCCAGGAGCTCAGCTGGGACAGCTGCCCTAATAATGAGCCAGACTATGTTGAACCCTAGCCTGAACTCCCTAAGCCTGGACTAAACAACTGCAAACCCCAAACTCAATCATAAACTCTTTCGAAGCCTAACAGCAAGCAGAAATCCTTTAAAACTAGAATCCCCTCCCTATCTGAAGCCATGGAGTCCTGTTTTCCCCTAAACCTAAGACGCCCTAAGCCCTAAACTGACCCAGAACCTGAAGCCATAAACCCTAATTACACCCCAAAGCCCTAAACCCTAAAGCCCTAGAAGCCCTAAACCCCTATGACTAAAGCCCAACCCCAGACCTGCCGCCGCAGTCGCTGCCGGAGGCTCCCGTGGGCGAGTCGCGGGCTCCCTGGACTAAGAAATCCTGGCCGCACCTTTGGCGAAGGCACACATGGGACCAAGAGTTTCGGGCCTCGGCTTCCCTTAAAGGGACCCTTATGGTATCCCTAGGCTTCCCTTAAAGGGGCTCTTATAGTGCCCTTGTAGTATCCCTAAAGAACCCTTAATGGAGCCTTTCAAAGGCACCCTTAAAAGGACCCTAAGCTTCTTAGAAGCTTAAAGAAAGGAGGTGTTCTTTCAAGTGTCGGAGAAGGGCTAGTGTATGCTTCCTTTTTTGAGCCCCTAGCGCTTGGGGGGCATGAATAACTGGACTAGAATGGGTGTTGGGGTATACTGTTCAATAGTCTGACCAGAATGACGAGCCCTAGAATATCATTCACGGTTGTGCTTGGGGTTGAAGATATTAAGAGATGGTTTGGGATGTCTTGCCAGCTCACCCGACAAGGACTTCTCGATCTGTTTAATGCTGGAATGCCGTTAGGTTTTGTTGGTTTTCTTGAAACAAGTACATGGAATCCGCTCCTGCATAAGTCGAAGGTGTAAGAACTTCAAGCCTTTGCGGAAATTGAACCTTCAACCGCGCATAGTGGGCGAGAAAGGATGAGAGATTCACTTACCTGCGAGTTTCTAAAACCCAATTCTCCACAGGGTGCCCTTTATTGGGTGCGTCTTTACAACCAGGATCCCCTCTATTTCAGCTCTATGAGTCTAGGTAGGTATGGGCTCCTTGTTTTCTGAAAAACCCCCGAAGCCCTAAGTAGGACTGTTCGGTTTAGAATCTGACCATGCAAGCAACAACCCCACCCTCACCTGCGCAACGATGTAGGCAGCGGCGAAGAGGAACGGAGGCGCCGTGTAGGCACGGCGTAAGTTCATGGCAAAGTGTCATGTGATTAAAGCTCACATCCAAGTTAATTTGGGCGCAGAGTTCAATGCTTCGATGGGTTTTAAGATATTTGGAGTGCAAAATTATGTACCCTGCGGCATTTGCGGTTGGGTTCAAGGCTTTATGCAGGTAGACCAAGAAGCGAACAGAAGCGAACCGTGAAACAAGCTTGTGCGCGCCGAAAGTCATGAGGTTCTATGGGCTGTTTTCAGCAATTGCAACAGCAATTTGCATCTTAGGCTTGAGAATTACAGAGCAGTTAGTGGTGTCAGTGCACTTTGCCATAGAAGTCATCAGAGAACCCTAGTTGTTGAGTTCATAAGCCCCAAAAAGTCTACACTTCCAGATTTATAGTGTAATACTATTCCAAAAAGTGTAAAGTGTATCCACTCAGCTACTAAGAACCTGTGACGACGGTTTCTGAATCGAGCATTGCCTGATGCTGCTGGGAGCTCTTCGAGCAATACGCAGCTTCTCGTTTCTAGCCTTCCAGATCTCAAGCATCTTTCTGGTTCACCATTGCTGGCCAATGGTCTTTCTGTTGCCTTGCATCTCTTGTCTCATGCCAGAAGGGCCACACCTCTCCAGATGCAAGTCTCACTCCGGATGAAGATGCCCAAACTCAGACATTCTTGCCCTCCTCCATAGCCCAAGACACCACGTCAGAAGCGTCGCTAGTTAAAGACCGAAACGATCAAAACCCTAAACCCGTAGACCCTAAACGCTTTCAGCCCTTAGTTATAAGCCGTAAACTCTGACTTATAAACCGTAAACTCTGTTAGTCCTTATTCAAGCCTTATTCCATGTTCCTTTGCCCCAGAACGTCTGATCTCTGAGCTGACATCGAAGCGGAGGGCACAGTAGTCACCAATATCCCAGACCCTAGAACATCGAGCCTTGATAAGTAGAATAGCTTTCCTTGAAAAGGTATGGCACTAAGGGCTACTATGAGGGTTTGGGTGTAGAGTCCTGAGAAGCGCACATTTTAGCCGTACCCGTCCACACATACGCTCTGACTATGTGGTTATTGCTCATCGCATGAACCGAATAAGCACAACTTTGCTTGACCTCCTTCAACAACAGCAACATTGCAAAGAGGCTACAAGAAACACCGTGCTCCTCCACATCAGCACGGAGACTCGCCTCCTGCGAAGCTTTGGTGCTACTCTGTGGTTCCGGCTCCCCGAGACCAAAGCCCGCAACACTCGCATCTGGGAGTTTCCGAAAATTCAGGGTACATTGTTTTGGGGTCTTTATAGCAAGGGATCGTACTATATAGGGTGCTATATTAGGGTCCTCCATTTTCGGAAACTCCGATCTAGGATCTTCAAAGTTCCCGAACGCAGAAATGGCCTCCAACCTTAACAACCTGTGTTTTCACCCCAGGCTCTGTGCTTCGGTGTATCAGCTCGGCAACCTGAACCCCTAAGTTGCAAAATCCTACACCAGAAAGCTGAAATCACCCAGCTTAGATCTCTGAACCCCCGTATTCCGACAGGTTCTGAATCAAATACCAGAGGACGTAAACCCTGAAAAATGAACCCTCAAGCTACATCAGTGCCACAATTAAATCAAAGGGCTCCGGGTTCCTTGCCTCTTTTTCCAGCTGCCTCAGCAATGCTGTCTGCGCTGCCTCGGCGCTGTTGCAGTTCAGACAAGATGACCATTGGAGCAGTTTGGGATCCTATAAGGTACCCCAAAGAAGGAACTACAATGGCGACTATAGGTAGAAACTCGATGAGGTCCCACACCATTGGTTGTTCACTTGTTCACGCATAAGGGCTCCGGCTCCACCTGTGCTCGGCGCAGCCTCCTCCTGAACCCTGAAAACAAAAAAACAAGGCAGCAAGATCTCAAAAGATATCGGACTATATAACAGTTTGTGCCATAGCCCATTTGTTTTGAATCTAAGCAACTGTTTGAGGCCTTGAAGTTTCATTGTATGCATGTCTTACAGTCGCTATTCCTGGTCCAACCTGATCAGACTAATCACTGCACTACCACCCTTCTCACTTCTTGTTCGTATATACACGGGGTTAGTGTATTGGCCTTCAGGGCTACATGAGGCAAACCATGCCCAAACCCGACAGCTCTTCGCGCTCTTTTGTGATATCAGTATCCCAATCTAGTCTGTGAGCGTAATGCCGGCTAGTCAAAACACTATGTAGTCTGTTCTTCATTGACCCTGCTACATCATATGCACCATATAAGATCGGCCTGCTTCCCACACGTCACCGTCTTTTGCACGCATTTGGTTGGTCCTTCCCCTCGTAATCATGATTTGATAAGGAGATTAGCAACACGATCACGATCAACAACTGTGGCTTCGCTCAGCCTGCGGCAAAGCGGGATTACCGGCTGTAGTATTGCAATGCACGACTCAAACAAATCGACATCTGCCTCGCTACTATACACAACTCTTAAAAACTTGAGATTCACAAAGCTGGGCAGCGTCTCAGCCAGCACTTCTACCTCCTTCAAGGGCAAATCAAAGGCACAAAGCTTTGTCCGCTGCTGGGAGTGCTTCAAAAACACTGCCTCTTGGAGTCTTACTACAATGTTCATATCATCACGGTGTGTGAACATCAACACCAACCCATCTTGTTCTCCCTCCAGCCCACGCTTCACCCGCTCTCGAAACATGGCCGGAGTCATAGGTGCATACCGATGGATGCTTTCCTTGGTGCTCATCCATTGAACCTCAGCGATGCACCAGCCTCGCTGAGCATACGGCACACGGTTCAGCACCAATTCGGCGAAGGGACGAAGCTCAACTTTGTTGGTGCTCTCACAATAGATTTCGATGAACTTCGGCGATCGAACTCCCGGGACGCATCTCAACATGCTTGTGATGATAAACCTACCTAGACTTGGGAACGGATTCGGCAGGTCGAGATGCTCAGAGGCTGCAATGTCTTCCAAGCGGACAACGTGAAAAATAGCTGCATGTGCGTAGAGCACGTGCATCGCCTTCATGGCACGGCTGAAACTCACCTGTTCGTCCCCTGACCTTTTGTACTGCGGCAAGCAAATGTAGTCTATAAACAGCCATGCTGAGTCAGGAGAAAATTTACCCGCCACACTCTCAATCCCCGTCTGAGAAGGAAGAAAGAACCAATCTAAAAGCCTCCTGGACTGAAAACCAAACGGGTCCGGATGTTGCTGCGCCTCCCAGCAATGCGAGACCGCGTAGATCCGCGCCCCCCCCGGTTTTTTTGCCCGAATGCTTGAAGCTGAAGTATCCACCGACACGAGAACCATAAGCATATCCCGCGATCTCAGCCTCACGGTACTGGCAGAATTCTGCCTGCTTCAGGTTCTCGATCTCCTCCATTGAAACTAAGTCCTGCTCCGCTTCCTGTCGACGCGGCCACAAACGTCCAGCTTCCCATAAGTCCATGAGATATCTGAGGCTTACCAAGCGTATGTTGGCATCAATGAGGAACTGGACGAGATCGTGAGGGTTTAGCAAGTCATATTCCGGATCATCAGCGTTTGTTGTGCTTGGATCCTTGGATTCGGCCCCTGAGGAACCACAGTCGCGGTCGATATGTGGCTGACGATGCATCGATGCACTCATACATCGCAGCCCGGACAGGCTGCAGGCGAGAATCCAGGCCCTGATCTTATTTGACTAACACGACTTAACTGACCCTAAACCCTAAACCCTAAACGACTTTGCATGGCCCCCAAGGGCTGCTTTTATGGCGGCTCAGGGCGAAGAGGTCTACCTTAACCTACCAAAACCTACGTTGTTGGAGGTTCTTATTATAAGCCCTAGTATTGATTTTTTAGGGACCCTACAAACAAGTAGGTTTTGGTGGGTTAAGGTAGGGTTTGAAGGGTGATGAAGGTCAAGGTTTAAGAGCAGACGCAGACTGGAGGGTTGGATTGCAAGCTGGGTCTTGACCAGGACCCCCCAAATACCCTTTAATAGAGCCCTTATGGTCCTTAATAGTGGGTATTTAGGGTATAGTAGAAGGCAGTTGGGGGGTCTAGGGACTCACACAGATCACAAACAAGCACAGTCGATGCAACCGACAACTGCTAAGGCCCACGATGTCAAAGTTAGCTGAACTTTCGGTCAGAAACGAACCTAGATCCTATAACACTTATCCCCGCACTCTCCACCCTGAGCCCTAGACCGCGATCCCAGACCACAAGGCAGTTTTAAGAGCTCTTGATGCCCTCGGTTCTGAAGCTTTCAGGCTGAGGAAGTCGGTTCTGCCCACCCTTGGAGCCAAAATGTTACTGTTGCCTGAACCTGGTATGCAAACCTGAAGAGTACCTATAACCCGGTACCCAAAGTATTTTCAGAAGTACAAGGGCGTGGGAAGAAGCCTCCACCAACCCCTACCCAGACCCCCACCTGCAGCTCAAATTGCAAACCTTTTTAAGGGTCCCTATTCAAGAACAACAGTTAGAATAGAGTTGTGGGGTAGATTATAGAGAGGTGTCACGAGTGGGGTTTTTCGAACTCGAATCTTTGAGAGTTTGAACGTAGTACATGTTGGACGGGATTCGAGAGTTTGAAAGTTTGAAAAGTTTGGAGAATGAAGAGTTTGAAGTTTGAAAGTTTGAGAGTTTCGAGTTCGAAAGCGGGCGCGAGTTTGGAGTTTGAAAATTTGAAACCCAGGAAGTTTGAAAGTTTGAAGCTTCGAAGATTGAAAGTTCGAAAGTTTGAAAAGGAGAAGGACCGCTGGAGACGCGTAGGGGTTCACAGAGCAGCCCTCAGGCTCGAGTTCGAAAGTTTGAGAGCTTGGAGTTTGAAAGTTTGAAACCCAGGAAGTTTGAAAGTTTGAAAGTTCGAAAGCTTCGAAGATTGAAATTTCCAAAATTTCAAGCTTTGGGGGGTTGCAGGTTTGAAGTTTTCAATTTCGACAGTTGAAAGTTTGAGAGCCGTGGAGTTCGAAAGTTTGAGATGTTCAAAGTTTGAGAGTTTGGGAGTTTGAAGGTTTGTAAGTTTGAAGAGTTTGAAGTTTGAATACATTGAAAGTTTGATTTTGAAACCATGTTGACGTCCTCATTTTAGGGTCTGGGCCCGGTAACTCCGAGTCCGATTCAATAGCCCGGGACCCCCCTGGGCGACAGGTAGTCCTGGATTTAGGAAGAGTATGAAGGGGGGGGGTTGTAGTTCTGGATTTAGGAAGACCATGGGGGGGCGGGGGGGGGGGCCGGGCTTGGAGTCTTCGGGGAACCCCACCGCTCTGTTTAGACTGCAAACGCCCCGCTCTGTTAAGCCGAGAAAAACTTAATGAAAGCGTCTCCCACTTCATACTTCACCAAAAACCAAGATTACGGGCCCCCCCAACCTCATACTTCGTCCAAATCCAAGACTTCGAGCCTCCCCCTTCCCCTTACAGTCTTCCTAAAACCAAGATGTTAAGCCCCCCTTTCTCCAACACAGGCAAAGGAGAAAGCAACACGAGAACACTTCAGGGGTTTAAACGCGAAGAATTAAAATGAGTGATTAAGAAGCTGTGCAAATGGGGGTGCTCTCTTAAGATCCCCCTCCCCTGATACGTCGTCCAAATCTAAGACGTCGAGGCGTCCCCTTACAGTCTTCCTCAATCCATGACTTTAAGCCCCACCTTTCTCCAGCACACACAAAGGAGAAAGCAACACAAAAATGCTTCAGGGGGCTAAACGCAAAGAACAAAACTTAAGAATGAATGATTTGGAAGCTCTGAAAGGGGGGGGGGCTGCGCCCCCCCAACCCCCCAACTTGTTTTGGACTGCAAACTCCCTGCTCTGTTAAGCCGCGAAAAAAATAAAACGTAACCCCCTTCATACATCACCAAAAACCAGAGTACGAGCCCCGCCCCCTCATACTTCGTTCAAATCCAAGACTCGAGCCCCCCCAGTCTCCAACACACACAAGGGAGAAAGCACACGAAAACGCTTCAGGTGGATTAGAAGCGAAGAAGACATCATGAATCATGAGTGATTTTGAACCTCTGCAGATGAGGGAGGGGGCTCTGCGCCCCCCAACCCCCCCCTCCCCCCCGCCGCTTATTTTAGACTGCAAGCGTACTTCACCCAAAACCCCCCTTCTTTCATGAATGATGTGGAAACTCTGCAAATGGGGGGGGCTGCGCCCCCCCCCCAACCCCCCGCTGTTTTTAGACTGCAAACTTCCTGCTCTCTTAAGCCGCGTTTTCTCCAACACACACAAACGAAGAAAAACAGACGAAAACGCTTCAGGGGGGTTAAAGACGAAGAAAAGAGCATTATGATCATGAGTGATTTGGAAGGTGATTTGGAGGACTACGTACTTCACCCAACCCCAGTGATTTGGAGGACTACATACTTCACCCAACCCCCTCTCTCATACTTCGCCCAGATCCAACACTACAAAGCCCCCCTATCATATTTCACCCATGAGCCCCTCGCCACCCCCCCGAATAGTACCACTAGTCGCCGGGAAAAGTCTTCTCCAAGACACACAAAGGAGAAAGCCACACGAAAACGCATCGGGGGGTTAAAAGCGAAAATAATATTCATGTTGGGTGGTTCGGAAGCTTTGCAAATGGAGGGGGAGGGGGGGGATGCGCTTTTAGACAGCAAACTCCCCGTTTGTTTAAGCCGCGAAGAAATGAACCAAAACGTCCTTTGGGCGTGCTTGAGATATACTAGAATCGCCAAAAGAGAAGGCGTGTGTAAGATGTAAAATTAACCGAAAGCGCCAAATGAGTAAGCGTAATACGACAATACGATGACCCGGAAAAGCTAAATGAGGGGTGTGCTTAAGATCGCCAACTCAAGGGGTGCGTTTAAGTTACACGGTGTGCTGGAATCGCCCAATGGGAGCGTAATTAAGATATGTGGTGAGGGGCTATGATGACCGGAATCGCAAAATGAGGGCGAAGTGAACCGGAATCGCCAACAAAGAAGGCGTGTTTGTTCAAGATACTTATTATTAATTGAGGTTGCGAACAACACCCATATACGTGACCGCATGTCGAGCGCTTCAAACTCTGAAACTTTTCAAACTCGAACTTTCAAACTGTCAAACTCTCGAACTTTCAAGCTCGAAACTCAGCGGACTTTCAAACTTTGCATCTCGACGCGCTTCAAACCTTCAAACTTTGCAAACTTTCAATCTTTCGAACTCTCAAACTCGCGAACTTTCATCCCTTTCAAACTTTCGATCTCTGAAACTTTCAAACCTTCGAACATGAAACCTTTCGAAGTTTGAAACCTTCGAAGTTTCAAACTCGTCACCTCAGCCCAAGCCGAAGAGGAAATCTGAAGCCAACCTTTCAAACTCCGAACTTTCGAACTTTCAAACTTTCGAACTTTGAAACTTTCGAGCTTTCAAACTTTCGAACGTTCGAACTTTCAAAGTTTGAAACCGTCGAACCTTCGAATTTGCAAACTTTCAAAGTCTCGAACTCTCAAACTTCGAAGGCCGATCGAACTCGCCCGCGGGAAAAGTTTGAAGTTTGAGTTTCAAGCAGCCAGTCGAGCTTGAAAGTTCGAGAGTTTGAAAGCTTGAAAGTTTGAAAGTTTCGAGTTCGAAAAGTTCGAAGTTTGACCGCGGCTAGCTTGTGCACACCAAGGTGCACAAACTTTCGAACTCCAGCACTTTTCGAACCTTCAAACCTTCAAAGTTTGAAACTTTCAAGCTTCAACCTCCAAACTCTCAAACTTTCAAACCTTCGAGTTCGAACGACCTCGCTCGCGACACCATTCTAGATTATACCGTACTTATCATAAGGAAACACCAAAAAATGATATTTGTAATCGTTTAGGCCCCTGTATTATGCGGTGCAGAAAGCCCTGGTCTTCAAAAGACAGCAGTTGGGGTTTCATCGGGCTTCTAGAGGCTTGCGGCGGGATATGGGGCTTTCTGCGCTCTCAGGGGTCCATGGCTATAAAGTTTTATGCATTTGTACATTAGAGTAGGGTTTGTGGGGGCTGTGGATTGTGGGCTGAGGAATTTTCAAGATTGTACATATGCGCTTCTGAGATGTTACATCTCTTCACGGGTATGTCGTAGATTTAGGAATGATTCTTCCTGACCAGACCTTGCAGTGGACAAGACTGATTCACATCGCTCTACAGGAACTTGAGGACTTGCCCTCGGAAACCGAAAATCAGTAGTATAGGGGCCTTAATAATTAGAGTAGGGTCTTGGGGCATTTTATACTATACTTATATTAAATAAAGAATCCCCCAAGATGGTATTGGTAACTATCTAGGTCCCCATACTCTGCCTCCAGGAAGGACAAAACACATCGAGATACACTCTTTAACGCAGCACC